TAAATTTTGGTCAATGACATGAGACAAAGTATATGTGAACTGCTGTATGAAAAGTGAATTTACTCTGTAAATCTTCACCCATATCAAAATAAAATAAAATAAAATAAAAACAAAGTTTCTTTCACAGCCTTCTTGCCCTCCTTCAAGCTCCATTTAACTAGCTCATGCCAAACAAGTTTCTATTAGCTTTCTTAGTTACACAGGGGTACGTTTTACAGTAAAATTTCATCCTGAAACATGGCCCATCAGAGTCCCCAAAGGTATATTCCATTCCTGAGATTTTCCTATGACCATATCAAGTGAGTGGTGGTGTTGTTATTTGCCATCGAGTCGGACCCATAGCGACCTCTCCTTGGGTTTCCAAAGCATTATCACTATGGAAGTAGACTGCCCAACCTTCCTTCCAAGGAGTGGCTGGTGGGTCTGAACTACCAACCTTCTGGTTAGCAGTCAAGTGCCTTAGGCACTACACTACCAGAGCTCATATCAAGTGCCTAGGGACTCCTATTTTAAAATGGAAAATGCCTAAACTATCATGGCTCTACTCTAACAGAAAGCTTTGAGGCTTTCCCAGTTCCCTTTCTCCTGAAAGAGTTACAAGTATAGAGCTAAAACGGTTTTTTCTTTCTTTCTTTTTTTTTAAATAACAATTTACTTCAGACTGTACATTTGGAAGAACTTTACCTAATTACAAACTTCTGTCAACTCTTCACTAGCAAGGATAATGGAATAGGGACACTGGTAGTAATGGGGGGAGGGCAGAATCTCTCACTAAGAAAGGTAGAATGAGTATAATGGGTAACACAGCCAGTATCTACCACACAACACCAGTAAGAAAATCCCAACAAATACCGAAGTGTTATTGGCCTACTAACTGTTTTCTTATAGAACAATTAATTCATGGGGTTTTTTCTCCACACTGTGTTCTCCTATGTGTATGTAATGATGTGGGCCAAATGAAAGCTTTCCCACACTGCTTACATTCACAGGGTTTCTCTCCAGTATGTGTACTCATATGGGTTTGTAAGGATAAAGGCCACTTGAAGATTTTTTCCACATTCCATACATCCATAGAGTTTTTCTTCAGTATGGGTCCTTTCATACCTTCGATAAGAATGGAGATAATTGAAAGTTTTCCCACACAATGTACACACATAAGGCCTTTCTCAAATGTGACTTCTCATGTGTTCTTACCTATGATGGACAACTAACGGCCTCCCAACTTACCTAACATTGATACAGTTTGTGTCCAGTGTGATCTGTGATATGCATCTTAAGGGAGGAATGAAGCATGAAGACTTTTCCACATTCAATGCTTTCATATGGACTGATTTCAGTAGGCATACTCTTGTACAGACTAAGATTTAGAATCTGGCAGAAGGTTTCTCCACACTGATTATGTTCAGTACTTTCAAAATATCTCTCAACTGAATGATTTCACACATTCCTCCCATGGTATTTGTGCTAATCTACAATGCTAAGGTATCCCAAAATTTTTCATGGTGTATGATCATCTGCTGATGCCAAGTTTCTGATGGTTTCTAGCATCACATCTCTATAAAGCTTTCTCTGAGCAGGATGCAACAAAGCCTACTTTTCCAGAGTGAAGTCCACAGCCACATCTGCAAACACCGTGGACTCCACCTTCTGGTCCTGTTTCTGGGGGGATCATGGTGCATCCTCCCTGTGCAGCTGAGATACTGATGTGAAGGGGAAATGGAGACCCAAGACAAGGTGGGGCAGGTGACCTAAAACTGCTTTTTAAAGAAAATCCCAGCCTTGCCGACAGAAAACCTCCATGAAGTCAGGGGCCATGTGTGTACTGCTCCTTATTTTATACCCGCACCTAGCACAGTGCATGGCCCAAAGAGCAGGCAATGAAAATGTGTGCAAGAAGGAAAAAAGAAAGAAGAAGGGGACTTCTGGTAAGATGGTAGAATATGCACACAAGCTACACAGACCTTCTTCAACAAAGAAAAGATAAACCAAATGACAGAGATACAGAAAATAACCCTGAAGCCCTGATCTTTGAAAGGTCTTTCCACAGAAGTGGATTAAACACCAACTAGTAGAACCTGAATGAAAACAGTGAATAAGGAGACAGAGCTATACTGATGGCACAGACAGTTTGAATATTTCCAAGTAATGTTAGAACATGAGAATTAACCAAAAAATCCATGCTGCTTGCCAAGGGCTACATGGATAACTACACTGGGGGCTGGTCACTAACAAGGGAGAAAGCAAAGAAGGAGACAAACTGAGCTGTGGACTTTTGGGTATCCAAAGGATGCAGTCATTTTGAATGTTTACAAAGCAGCACAGTCATTCTGGATATTTAAAGCAACAGTGTTCTCCTTCACATTCCAGGTACCTAAGGATAGACTCTATTTGCTGAGGAGAGCACAGATATTCTGGAGGGTGACAAATGGAAAGGTGCGATATTCCCCTTGTTACCCTTATACCCCACACTCTCTTGGTTAATGGAGGTGCAGCCATCACTCACCTCCACCCACCTTCTGGAGCAACAGAAACTCCATCTCACTCTGTGTGCTCTGACAGAGCCTGGGTGCCCTGCCCTGCTCCCCATCCCCCTGCTAGATTTTTTTTTTTAATTTGTTTTTATTTTCTTTTATTCTTCCTTTTTAATTTCACTCTTTCTTGTTTCATTCCCAGGTTCTCGTTTTTTGCTTTTTTTCTCTTCCCTTTTTCTGGATCCAATTTCTTTTCTTTCTGGTGGTTCTTCCCATCTCGTTTTTCTTTTTGCATTGTTTTGACGTTTTCCATCATTATTCTCCTACTTCAGCTCTCTTATTTCCCCCTGTCCAGATAGTATGTTTTTTTTTTCTCTATTTTTCTACTCATATTTATTTTGTCTTTTAAAAGTATGTCTTTATTATGTCTCATTTATTGTCTTCCTTTTTTTTTTTCTTTCACATTTTGGTTATGGTTCCTCTGTGTGTTTATGTGGTGTGTGTTTTTTGTCTTCTTGTTTTTACTTTTCAGTGTCTTTTTTTTTAGGAATTGTTTCTGTCTGAGTTGGAGAAAGCAACTATGCCCACACAACCCAACCATACACATACTTCCTGCAGCCCCATCTACTGAGTAAGGGCCACCAGTTGCATCTGCACCAAATGGTCGATGATACATGACGAACAATTCACACTTGACTCACCCTTAACTGCCCTTTAAAACAGCTAACCAAGATCTGCACACCCACTCACATTCTCTATCCCACCTACCAAGAGACTGGTGGTGAGTGCATAAATGCTCCCCATTAGTGAATAAGGAGCACAGTATCCTGCTCACTCAGACACATCCAAACAAAACAAAGGAAATTAAAATCTTGGGTGAATCACTCTAATATATAATCATCAATTAAACATAAATACAACAGGTCACAATGTCTCAGAGACAACATACCATCACAGTCCACACAAAGAAACAACACAAAGTGGTAGAAACAAGGGACCAGGATACAGACCCAGAAAACATCTCCGAGGAAGAAGCAGCATTGGAATTCTCCAATAAGGAATTCAAAAGAATTATACTTAGGTACCTTTTACAGATTGAGAGACACATCAGGGAAAACTGACTAAATTAAGGAAAACACAGAGAAAACCCGAGAAAAATTTCAGAAGACAATACAAGAACAAAATAAATGAGAAATGATACAAAATCTACAGACAGAAATCAGAAGATTAATACTAATTTGCAGAAATTGAATGGGGAAAGGAGTAGAACTAAACCAATGGAAAACACAGTTAGTGAGAATGAAGACAAATACCTCAATACTTCTTTAGAAAGGGATCAATAAGAAAACAGACCAAAACAAAATGAAGAAAGCCTAATATTCATGTGGGATACCATCAAGAGAAATAACCCACTTGTAATCAGAATTACAGAGCAGGTAGAGACAAATGAAACCACAGAGAAAACAGTCAAAGACTTCCTGGAAGATAATTTCCCTGACATTATGACTGTATCTATTCAAGAAGTCCAACGAACCCCAAACAGGACAGATCCCAAAAGAAAATCACCAACACATATCATCACCAAACTCGCCAAAACCAAACACAAAGAATGAATCATGAAAGCAGTACAGGAAAAATGAAAAGTTGCCCTCAAAGGGCAACAAGACTAAGCTTGGATTTCTTTGCAGAAACCATGTAGGTGAGAAGACAATAGGATGGTATACATAAAACCCTGAAAGGAAAGGATTTCCAACCAAGAATTACATACACAGCAAAACTGTTACTCAAATATGATGGTGAAATTAGAATATTTCCAGATAAGCAGAAATTAAGGGAATTTGTTAAAACCAGACTAAGCTTCCAAGAGATGCTAAAGGTAGTCCTTTGGACACAGAATGATTAACACACCTGTGACATGATCCAGAAACAAACCCAGTTATAGAAGGATCCTAAGTAAAATACACTTACAAAATTTTAAACAGGGAACCAGAGACATCAATTGGCAAATGAGGACAATGACAATCCAAAAAGGGAAAAAATGCTGTTGTTACAGAAGTTCTAAATGGTAAGGAAGAATATACAATTGCCAAGATATAATGGCCAGTTCTAAACTGGGGAAGAAAATTATACATCACAGGGTAACTTCAAAGGATTATTATAAACTTTTGAATCAAAATAAAAAGGAACAAGCATAAATATTTAGCAAATACTAAAACAACAGCAACGAAGTAAAGGACAACAAGATTCATAAACAAAATGAGCTCATCACAGAAAATTGTATCGAGGAAATCAGAAACACACACACACACAAACACAGAACAAAATGACTACCATAAACTCATTCTTTTTGATAATTACACTGAATATAAATAGATTAAATGCACCACTTCAGAGATGGAAACTTCAGACTGGGTAAGAAAATACAACTCATCAATATGCTGTCTACAAGAGACTCACCTCAGAGACAAAGACAAAAACAGACTAAAAATCAAAGGTTGGAAAAAGATATATCAAGCAAATGGCACTCAAAAAATAGGAGGAGTGGCAATATTAATTACTGACAAAATTGACTTTAAGATAATAACCACCGTAAGGATAAGGAAGGACATTATATAATGATTAAAGGATGCATTCAACAAGAACATAGAATCATAATAAATATTTAAGCACCCAATGAAAGAGTGCCAAAATACGCAAAGCAGATATTAACAATTGAAAAGGCAAATAGATGACTCCACAGTAATAGTAAGAGAATTTAATACATCACTTTCAATGAAAGATAGAACTGGAAAGAAGCTCAACAAAGACACAAAAGAACTAAACAGTACAATCCAGCAACTTGACCTTATAGTCATCCACAGAGCACTATACCCAACAACAGCACAATATACATCCTTTTCCAGCAAACATGTAACACTCTCCAGGATAGAGTGCATGTTAGGCTACAAAGCAAGCCTTGATAAATTTAAAACACAATACTATCAAATTAGAAATCAACAATAGGAAGATCAATGGAAAAAAAGCAAAAATATCAAAACTGAACAACACCCTTCTTAAGAACAACTGGGTAACAGAAGAAATAAAAAACTAAATTAAAAAATTTCTTGAACAAACAAGAATGAAACACATACCAAAATCTTTGAGACACAGCAAAAGCAGTGATCAGAGGCCAATTTAGAGCAATAAAGGCACACACATCAAAAAACAAGAGCCAAAATCAACACCTTAACCCAACATCTCCTACAACTAGAAAAACAGCAAGAAAAGCCTATTGTCACCAGAAGAAAGGAAATAAAGATTTGAGCAGTAATCAATGAAACAGGAAATAGAAAGATAATAGAAAAAATCAACAAGGCTAGACGTTGATTCTTTGAAGAGATGAATAAATTTGACAAACCGCTGGCAAATCTAACAAATACAAGTAATACAAGTAAGAAATGAAATGGGTGGTATCACAACGGATCGAAATTAAATAAAAAAGGTAATACCAGGATACTATCAAGAATTGTATTCCAACAAATTTGAAAGTCTAGGAGAAATGGACAGATTTCTAGAAACACACTACTTATGTAAACTAACACAGACCGAGGTGGAAAAGTTGAACAGGCTCATAACAAAAGAAGAAATTGAACAGGTCATCAAAAAACTACCAATTAAAAAAAGTCCTGGCCCAGATGGTTTCACCAGAGAATTCTACCAAACATTCAGTGAACTGACACCAGTCCTACTCAAACTATTCCAGAACAAAGAAAATAATGGAATCTTCTCAAATTCATTTTATGAAGCAAGCATAACCTTGATAAGAAAACCAGGCAAAGACATCACTAAAAAGAAAAATTACAGACCAATATCCCTCATATATATAGATGCAAAAATCTTCAACAAAATCCTAGCCAATAGACTACAACATCATACCATAAAAATTACACATTAACCAGAGCTCCCTATTATATGGCCTAAGAGCTCTAGTAGTGCAGTGCCTAAGGCATTTGACTGCTAATCAGAAGGCTGGTGGTTCAAACCCACCAGCCACTCCTCAGAAGGAAGGCTGGGCAATCTACTTCCATAGTGATACCACCTCAGAAATCCAAGGAGAGGCCGCCATGAGTCAGCTCCGACTCCACGGCAATGAGTTTTTTTTTTTTTTTTAATATATGGCATAAATAGACTATCAAGCATAACCCCAAATGCACAAACAGCAGAAGACAAACAAGATGCATGGGATTTTATACAAATGAAATTATTATGTGCTTCCAAAGATTTCTCCAAGAGTGAAAACAGAACCTATAGATGGGAAAAAAATATTTGGCAACAACGTATCTCACAAGGGACTTATCTCTAAAATTTATAGAAAACTCCAACATCTCAACAAAAAAGACAAATAATCCAATTCAAAAATGGACAGAAGACATGAAGAGACACTTCACCAAAGAGGATATTTAGGTGGCCAACAAACACATGAAGAAATGTTCATGATCATTAGCCATTAGAGAGATGCAAATCAAAACAACAAGATACCATCTTGGTCTAGCACTAGTAGCAAAGTTCAAAAGACAAAAAATAACAAATATTGCTGAGAATGCAGAGAGACTGGGATTCTCATACACTGCTGGTGGGACTGTTAAATGATACAACCACTCTGGAAATCAGTATGGCAATTCCTTAAAAAGTTGGAATTAGAAATACCAATTGACCCAGCAATTCCATTGTTGTTGTTGTTGTTATTTGCCGTCAAGTATATATCCCAAAGATATGAGAGCCAGAACAAGAACAGATATATGCACACCAATGTTCATCACAGCACTATTTACAACAGCAAAAAGATGGAACAACCTAGGTGCCCATCAACAGAAGAATGGATAACCAAATTATGGTACGTACACACAATGGAATACTACGCAACCCTAAAGAATAATGTAAAATCTGCAAAACACCACATAGTGTGGATGAATTTGGAGGACATTATGCTGAGTAAAATAAGTCAATCATAGAAGGACAAATATCGTACTAGTTCACTACTGTAAAAAGTCAAGGAAAAGTTTATATAAGGAAGGAAATTTTCTTTG